ACCACTTCCCTTGTCCTGTATGCCGGGTGTCATTCTCGGTATCTGTTCTTATTCTGTATCTATGGACTCTGCACAGTACCACTTCCCTTGTCCTGTATGCCGGGTGTCATTCTCGGTATCTGTAGCGGGAAGTGATGACATCATACATGTTTTGTGTTTTCTTCGTTTTGGATTTTCTTTTATCGCTGAGAACAAAGGAATTATCGGATAAAAGCGAGCGGTGGGAACAATGTATCGGCGTGCGGATCGCGGTGTTCTCGGCGTGACGGGAGGGATTGTGTTTTTGTCTTTTAATTAGCGTCTCCCGGCCGCGTCTGATTGGCTGTTCTACTTTCAGCACAAAACAAAGACTAAAATTAGCGCCGGCGATTGAGGACAGAACGCGGCCGCTGCGTAGGAGAGATTGTCACGCTGCGGCTCTCCGGGGGTTATTTTCACCTGCTTCATAGTAATTAACACGTGATACACATCTCCCTGCGCCCTGAGATCCCGCGTCCCAAGTAACCCTGGTGCCGCAGTGCCGGCACGCGAGCCCAGGTCCGCCGTACCGCTTCCAGGTTCACTGACGGGCACGCGGGCGCAGAAAAGAGCTCCGGAGACGCTGTCACCTGCTGCCGCGCAAGCGCACTGAGGACAAGACGAGGAGCCCGCGCAGGCGCAGTGACGTCAACGACTAACGCAGTATGTGAGGAGCACGCGCAGGCGCAGTGACGTCAACGACTAACGCGGTATGTGAGGAGCACGCGCTCTAGCATCAGCGCCATTACCTCAGACATAGGAGAGCATATTAGACGTTCCGCATAGCCGTCCTCAGAGACTACTTTTAGATGACCTGTAAGCTGCACAGCCCCCAGGAGCCCATACAGACAACCGCAGAGCCCATAATTAGTTCAAACAGTGGTATGAAGTGTGTTTGTAAGTCTGGGATAATGTCTGTAGTCTGGGATGGGGGCGGGACAATGTCTGTAGTCTGGGATGATGTCTGTAGTCTGGGATGGGGGCGGGACGATGTCTGTAGTCTGGGATGGGGGCGGGACGATGTCTGTAGTCTGGGATGGGGGCGGGACGATGTCTGTAGTTCCTCAGTCTCCCCTCCCCCAGTGATCAGTCTGCTGCAGGCAGGAGGAAGCATTTCCTCAGTCTCCCCTCCCCCAGCGATCAGTCTGCTGCAGGCAGGATGTGATCTGAGCCCATCTCATGGTGCAGCATCCGTCACTCTCCTGCTCGGTAATATTCCCTCCAGCAGCCTCGTCTCCGCATGGATCGGATCACGTGACCCCCCGGCAGAGATGAGCGCTGATAGCGCGGCCCGCAGGAAATTAATCCGGACTTGTATTATGAGATGACGGAGAACCTCGTTTATGGCTGCTGACGGCTGATATATCTGCCAGAGACGGAGCAGGAATGAACAAAGGTGGGCAGTGACGGGTCCCCTCTACCACTGCTGCCCTTTAGAGCGAACGCGGCGCGGAAATCTCATTAAACATAAATGCAAACAAAACACGGCAAGTAAAACATACGAACATGCGAGGGAACCGTCCCAGCGCACACGCAACACGTGCAACGCCGCTGCGTCCTCTACTCTACAGTGCGTTGAGGTCGCATTCACAATAAACGGCGGTGCACTGACGCACATCGCATTGACGAGCGTTCATTTAACTGTCTAGGTGAGGAACTCGCTGCACTTTGCGGGTCGATAATGCGGGCTACGACCGACGCGTTTCAAGATCCACTTCGCCTCTTCACAGCCACAAAGCTGAGATTAT